TATAACAATCTGTGTTGGGCTAGTTACTCAAAAAAATGTAATAGATTACTTATTAATTTACTTATTACTCCCTGCCAACAGTAATTAGTTACACTACTAGTTATATTACTTTTCTGCTACTCCCCACAAAATTGGTAATTGTGTCTCTTCTCCCCAAAATTCAGACATACGACGATTAAAATCCAGTTTTGTTTGTTAAAATCAAAGTAATGTGAGTATTTCCATCTTTTAAACTAGTTTCCTCCACGATTACACAAATAAATCCAAGGATGTGATTGGATTGTTGGATTTTAAATCAGTAGAGGGTGACAACAAAAGTAAAGTAACTGTAATATTATTACTAGTAATGAGTTACTGCCCAACACTGATTACAATATATATCAATATATTATATTATAAATTACAAAGGACAAAGGAGTTTGATCCTCCAATGGGTCAAAATAAAACTACAAGAGAGCCTGAAGATCTGATTTGCTGTTGCTCTGGATCGTACGGTGGCCAGCAGGGACAAAGTTGAGTCCACTGAGGGTTGTTTACAACTGAAGGTCTGATAATGGTTATTATGGTTTACGTGCTTTAAGTATTCACACTGCGCAGCTCCTGGTTGACGTCCAAGTGTTTTGATTTATTCGGCATCATGACCGCTCACATTCCTTCTCAGGAATACTTTATTGTCTGTTGTGGTTAGCGGTGTCAACTTGAGCTGAACGAAATAACGACCAGAGGCATGTATACGCGCCACCGGGGTCACGACACTCTTCCTTAATTTGACAATAAGTCAAACACTTTCATATATTACCCTCTATAGGAACATAATACCACTGTACTGCTCCTCTGTGAGATAAAACATGAAAGACAGCATTCCAACATCACCTGTATCCTTTTATTACTCTCCGCTCGTAGAGAAATCATTGGTGCATTTAAAAACAAAACATTACCCTATAAATTTGAGAGTAGTGAGGACCGGGACTACTTTCTGAGGGAACAACGCTGAAGGTCATAAACTGTCCCAACATGTGGGTGAACCTGCCTGCACGGCTGGACCCACATGTTGAACTATATTAGCTGTAGCCCTTAACGGCCCGCCATCCACTCCGTGCACATGGTTCTGGTTTAGGCCCCTTTCTTCAACACTAGATAGGTTGTATTACATTTATTAAACACTTTAAAAAATCTCTGGCTGCAAGATTGTCCATCTGTTGAGGACAAGAGAATATATATGAAAGAGGCATGAGGCGCGGCGGGGGGAAACAGTTGTGATGTCAGTGCTGGTCTTAATGTGGTGCAGGTCTAAGTTCTGGACGGATGACTGATTTAAAAGGTATAGCTTTTAGCCGAGAGAACAGTTAGATCACAGATGAATTTTAATAAAAAAAGAAGGAGAAAGGCACACAAATCACCTCTGCTTTGCTCTCAGGAATGTTTTTGTGCACGGCTTTGATATATAGGTGCAGATGTGCGACTGCAGCGTGACGAGCAGAGCTAAAAAGGGCTGCTAAGCTGGGGCAACATGTCAGCCCGGTGACTCCCTAAAGGCCTTGATTTCTACCTCGTAACCCTCCAAAAAAGAGCACGCCAGAAAAACTACAACATCCACAACTCGCTGGTCGGTGAGCTCTACGTGTGCTCGTCGATTAAAACTAAGTTTTTAAAAACAAGTGAATAGTCGGAACATCTAGAGAAGCAACAGGGGAAATCTAAAGCTGCACATCCCAAATCTAATCAATAAATCAAGTACAAGAGATAAAACAAAAAAAATAAAAAAATAAAAAATCCCACTAATTCTGAATCAAACCATCCAATTAGCAGCGGTTTGTTTGTGCAGGTGCTGTTTCTTCCTGCATGTCAATCATATGATGTGCACAGCTCTTTACTTGGTAACCATAATTACAAAAGATGCCCTCTTCCTTGGTTTACCATATTTTACTGGGCCACTGAGGCAACGCTGTTCCTTTTTAGCCTTTAGCATAGCAAGACCTTGTACGTCAGGATGTGTTGTGGTCCATTTGTGGTCCTTTTCCAGCAGCGACAGAGGGCACAGGGCTCCTAAAAGCTATGCTTGGTCCCCAATTATGTTTGTGAGGAGATGAGTGTTGAGTTTTGCGACCTCAGGACTATATTTTTGCTTTTTCTAGCTTTTAGTTTTGTTGGGCTATTACAGTCTTGCAAGCTCAGCATACTTAGACTATGAAGTAATAGAGACAAGGGTCAGCATCTCCAAGCTCCAGACAATGATCTACTGAAAACTTGATTTTCCCCTTGGTTAGGAAAAATTGAAGTGAAGGGATAATCTGAGAGTTGTAACAGTGTGTCTAAAATGGAGCATAAAGGTCCAGTGTGTAACAATTAGCAGAATCTATTAAAGGTTTCCATTAATGTATATTACTGAATGAGACGTCTTTATCCACAGCGGGAGCACGTCCTCTTCCATTTTTCCATTTTGTAACTGCCGTGTTTCTAAGGAATGCTGGCTCTGCTTGGAAGGCTGAGCTGTATTCAA